GGCCTTTCACTGTTGTGGCCTCTCCCACTGCAGAGCACAGGCTCCGGACGCGCAGGCCCAGCAGCCATGGCTCACGGGCCTAGCCGCTCTGCGGCATGAGGGATCTTCCCGGACTGGGGCACGAACCCGCGTCCCCTGCATCGGCAGGCAGACTCCCAACCACTGTGCCACCAGGGAAGCCCTAAATACTTTTTTTTTAAAGAATTTAAAAATATTTTACTATGTGTTCTTCTTGAAATTAGCAAAAGTGAACCTAAGAAAAATAGGGAACTGTAATCAAAAACATAAAGCCAGGGCTTCCCTGGTGGCGCAGTGGTTGAGAGTTTGCCTGCCAACACAGGAGACACGGATTTGTGCCCCGGTCCGGGAAGATCCCACATGCCGTGGAGCGGCTGGGCCCGTGAGCCATGGCTGCTGAGCCTGTGCGTCCGGAGACTGTGCTCCGCAACAGGAGAGGCCACAGCAGTGAGAGGCTCATGTACCGCAAAAAAAACCCAAAAAACAAAAAACATAAAGGCAAAATATAAAGAATTAGAAGACAGAAAAAGAGTAGTTCTATTGAGTTGTCTTTGAAAGGTAATAAAACAGCAAATCTCTAGCTAGAGTTACCAAGAAAAAGAGAAACACAAATACATACAATAAAATTGATGCATGCAAAGAAAATACTATAAAAGATTTAAATGTATTCTTCTATTTTATTAAAAAAATTTTGAAACTATAGATGATTTTCTAGGACACTATTATTAAATTTGCCTTATTATGAGGCAGAAAACCTGAGAGAGGAAGTTCTAGAGCCAGAGGGTCGGTGTCCCAGCTCTGCCACTTACTAGCTATGTGACCCTGGGAAAGAGACTAACCTGTGCTCAGTTACCTCAACCATAACTGATGTGGAGATGATGTGGCAACCTCAGAGGGTTGTTGAGAGGGTCAGATGAGATAATACTTGCATAGGACAAATGACAAACTGGGGGAAAAGTTTACAATATGACACATGAAGAGCTCTTACATATTAGTAAGAACAAAATAAACACAGAACATTAAAAAAAAAAAAAAAAAAAAGGACATGAACAACACAAATCCCAAAAGAAATAAAAATGGCCAGTAAACAATGTCCTTTGTCTACAGCCTCTGAGCTGGTCTGTCTGGGAAAAATAGGTGAAAATTACTCATTCACTGTTGACTGAAATAAAATTTGTATAGCATTCTTGGAGGGCAATTTGGAAATATGCACCAAAAGCCTTAATTACACATATCTTTTGATTTAGCAAATAATCCCCTAAAAGCTATCTTAAAGAAAATTTAAAGGACATGCATAAAAATTTGGCTTCAAGAATGTTTATGTGGTGAAAATTAGTAACAACCTAAGTATTAATCAAAGGGGATGTTAAATACAATGTTATTGTTCTTCCATTAAAAATCATGTTGTAGATTAGTATTTATTGAAATGGAAACTACTAACTCCCATAGAACGTTTACAAAATGAATAACAAACTCCTCCATAATACCCACGAGAAGAAAAACTGCAGAGGCCATATTATCACAATGCAATGAAAATATATCCTAAATAACTCTAGGGTAAAGAAATCAAAACTTAAAAATTAAAATTTAAAAACATCCAGAAAAGAATGAGAATAAGAGAGCATTACAGGGACTTCCCTGGTGGTCCAGTGGTTAAGAATCCACCTCCCAATACAGGGGACACGGGTTGGATCCCTGGTCGGGGAACTAAGATCCCACATGCCGTGGGGCAACAAAGCCCATGAGCTGCAACTACTGAGCACGTGGGCCACAACTACAGAGCCCTCATGCTGAAACTACAGAGCCCACACGCTCTGGAGCCCTGTGCCACAACTAGAGAGCCCACACGCCGCAACTACTGAGCCCACGTGCCACTAGAGAGAAGCCCGCGCACCACAGCGAGGAGCCCACGCACCGCAGCGGAGGATCCCACATGCTGCAAGGAAGATTCCGAGTACCACGACTAAGACCTGACGCAGCCAAAAATTAAATAAATAAATAAATAAATAAATAAATAAATAATAGATAGAGCATTTCATAGCAAATGTTATGGAATAACAGCCAAAGTTCTAATCAGAAACAAATTTACGAGGTTAGAAAAATACTGATACACCCAAAGAAAGCAGGAAGAAAGAATATGAAAAGTTAAAAGCAGAAATTAATCAATATAATTAAAAAGATCAATTTTGAAGGATATCAAATTCCATATCCTACAAAGAACATATTCAAAACCTCACATCCATTGCTGAGGAATTTATAACAGTAAAACATTGACATCAAATTAATGTTTAAAAAAGAGGTACCTGGTTAAATACATTAGGATGTATCCACATAAAGGAATTTAATGTAGATATTTTAAAAGTTATATTCGAGGAGCTTCTTTAATGATATGGGGGAAACATGCCAAATTTTGTAAGCAAAAAAAATTAGGCTTTAAAATATGACTATAAAAATGTACCTTAGAGTCATAAACTGAGCTGAAAACTGTGCACAAAATTGTGGACACATGTATTTTTGTGAAAGAGAAGATCTGCAACTTACCTTAGATTCACAAAGATATCTGTGACCGTAAAAAGGTTAAATGCCACTAATAGACATCCAAATGGTACCCCTATGCTAATTTCTCAGGGGTGAGATCATGGTGCTTTTAACTTTATTCTCTATGCTCTTGTATAAATTACTAAATATGTATGTTATTTATTAATAAAAGGGAAAATTGTTTTTATAATTACTTCTAGAATTTTTTTAAACGTCTCATTTAAAAAGATATCTCGCTTCCGCCACAGCAACCATTAAAGAGCAGCAGCCATGGCTCTGCGCTACCCCATGGCTGTGGGCCTCAACAGGAACCACAAGGTGACCAAAAATGTGAGCAAGCCGAGGCACAGCAGCCGCCACGGGCGCCTCACCAAGAACACCAAGTTTGTGTGGGACATGATCCAGGAGGTGTGCGGCTTCGCCTCTTATGAACGGCGGGCCATGGAGCTGCTCAAGGTCTCCAAGGACAAGTGGGCCTTCAAGTTCATCAAGAAAAGGGTGGGGGGACACATCTGTGCCAAGAGGAAGAGAGAGGAGCTGAGCAATGTCCTGGCCGCCATGAGGAAGGCAGCAGCCAAGAAGGACTGAGCCCTTCCCCTCTGTGCACAATAAAACTTTTTCAGAAAAAAATTAAAAAAATCAAAATAAAAAGATATGTCCCTGTCTCCATAAGCATACACACACATGCACAAAAACACAGCATAGAAGAGGCTCAGATATAGGATAGAGCATCTGATTCTTAGAACTCTTCAAGTCATTCCAAAGAACGTAAGCAATTACAAGAGATTAACAGAGTGATGTTCCTGAAATTTAGAAATATTTGCTTAAAAACATGTATGTGGGCTTGAGAGGACAAATCCTGTATATTACTGCCAGATCACCCTGCCATTCTAATTCAAAGTGATTCTAGACTTTTTTTATCCCAATCTTTTTATAGGAAATCTTCAGAATGAAGAAAATTATGTTACCACCAGGATCTGGGGCTCACTGCCATGCTAGGGTTATCTGTGGACTGGAAACCAGTGGGAAGGTCACAACAGTGAGTCTTGAGTGTTCGCCATACTAACCAGTTCCAGCAGAAAATGAGGAAGCGGCAAAAGTATCACCTTGGGTTGGTTGAAAGCCTGGGATCAAACTCTCAGCTGAGCCTCCAAGCTTCTCAGGATGTTTGCCTGGAGGGACAAAATACCACTCGGTTTATCCCAGCAGAATCCCATGATGCACACACAGGCCAGGGGTGAAGGGCACCTCCAAACCGACATCTAGACTTGACTCATTTTACTGCATTATGGCAACACCTTGGCTATTCAAAGATCCTTGTCTGGTCACTGCAGTAACTGAGAAACAGCTGAGGAAAGAAAGGAAGTCTAAAGCTCTAAAGCTTGCGCACATTACTCAAAGCACAATGCCTCCAGCCTTCACTCTGAATCGATATATCTCTACATCATTCTAATGAGTTTGATGATCTGTTTTCCATGTTGAAAGTAGTTATGAGAGCAAAAGAGAAGAGAGATGGCAGTAGTGAGAATCTACGAGGGACAGGCACAATGACAATGGCTTAATGTAAAAGCCAACAGCTGAACAACAAGAACAGTGACAGGAAATTCTAAAAATAGATATAGGAAGTTTAAAACTTGGGAGTCACTTAATCAGGTGCAAAATACTAGTTTTCAATAGCACATGAAGGTATTTCTGTTTACAGTCTAGAACAATAACTGGCATACATAACAATGAAACAAATTGACAATAAATGTCAAAGAAAGTTAAATACTATGCCCTATGAAGAAAAAAAAAAGGCAAGAAGTATATGGATTTTAAAAAGATGTCTATAAAATTATAAAGCTAAAATGTTTGGTCAAAGTTCGTATCATTCACTCCGTTCTGATCATTCCTTTACCCTGTGCTTTTGTCTACACTGAGGTACTTTTTTTGAACTGTATCATACTGTAGAATTTTCCCAGGGTGTGTGCTGTTGTTTTCCAAGGTGTATGTGTGTCTGTGAATGGGTATCTTGCCTTCCAAATTAGACTGTGGATTTGAGGGTAGAAATGGTACCTTCTGTTTATTTGATCTCCGCTCCAGGGTCAGTCAACAGTAATAGAGAATTCTGATCATGAAGATTCAGTGCCTGCATGAGGGCACACTCTCATGGGTCAGCAGCTACGACTTTCTGGGATAATAAACCCACTTAGGACAAGGTACCATCACATTCCTCCAAGGAGTGAATGTGCTTGACACTATCATCCTGATCTATGCTACCAAATCTTTCCTAAAAGTTTCCCACTCTCCTTGCTGCCACCCACAACAGACCAGGATTTCCTGAGGATGAAGAGACTTCAGTGCCCTATAGTAAAAATACAGGCTGATTTGTGCATATACCTCAAAATCAAGTCTTTGAAGGAAAGAAAGACCCAAGCCTACATTTTCACACACATACCCCTCTAGAGTTAATCACAAAAAGACACCAATTACTCACCTTCCCCCAGCTTGGCAAAGTCCTTGTTCAGCAGTTCTTCAGCTGTGAGTTTGGAGAAATTGTCGTCGTCAAAGGGATTCCATGTAGAACCTTCTGAAGGATTATAAACGTTTTGCTGGGAGGCCCGAGGGGAGCCTGAAGGAGTGGTGGTTGCAGACCTAGGTAGGTTCCCACCCCCACGAAATAAAAAGACATATAAAGGTTGAAAAGGGTCAACCTATTTTCTCTTTGTTTCAAGAGCAAATTATTTTATAAGTCAAACCATTATTTTCCACAGTATGTTTCTAAAAGGGCTTCCCGTAGCAATGGAACAGTTTCCACAGATGCCCTTTCCACTGTGTGAAACAAACATCACCCTTTCTTTTGTGATTCACTGTCTCCCACTACATCTTTAACCTCTTGCTTAGATTTTCGGTCTCATCTGCAAGTTCCTTCAATTCAGGATCCCAAAGCCACCTGTTCTTAGGCTCTTGCATCCTGTTGTGACCACTGTAACATTCACAACAGCTCCAGAGGGGCTGACGCCTATTCCGGCTGCCTCGCATCTGTCAGGATCCAGCATCAGTGGACACCATCACAGTTAAACACCAACAAAGACATTTACCACCATCTTGAGCCCCTGGGTATCATTACCTAATTTTCTTCTAAAGTCCCTCTTGATGCCCTTTGCATTTAGCTAATGACTCAATTTAAAGATTTTAACTTCCGTATATGGTTCCAAGAAAGCTGAGAGCCTGACACTGAATTTACGCAACAAACACTCACTGCAATCTACTTGATGTGAGGCACAGAGCCTGTCACTGGATTGACAAAGGTTAATTAAGCCACGGTGCTTGCTGTGGATGAACTTGCAGGCTAGGCCAGCTAAACATACAAATAAATAATGATAATACAGTGTGATACATGCTCAAAAAAGGGTTCAGACAAAATTATATATGACACCAGAGGAAGGGTCAAAGAAAATATAACCTCCAACATGGATCTTGATGAATAAATAAGCATTTCCTAAGTGGACCAGGAGGAGAATGGCAGTTCCACCAGTGTGATATAATAGTCCTTGGTCTGTTAACCAGTCAGTTCAGATATTATTCTACAGGCAATGGGGAGCCAATGAAATGTTATCAGCATGGAGAGATTTGATCAGATCAAGAATTTAGAAAACGCATGATACAGTATGGGATGGAAGACAGATAGATTGGAAACTGTGAGGCAAGTAGGAAATTATTTCTTAAGATCAGTCTGATCTATGCACTACAGGAAAATTCAGTTTCTCAATAAACACAGACACTCACCCCTACATATACATCTACACACAACTACATACATATGCAAAAATCACACAGCAATGTTCCCCGGCAGCCCTTGCCCACAAAAGCAGTACATACTTGGACTTATTGAGACTGGCCTCAGCTGCAGCTGCTTGGAGCAGCTGGGTTGATTTGCTGGCAGGGACCCCAAAGACTGCGCTGTGGGTCACGTCGCTGAGAATCCGCCTGTGCCCAGCACGCTGGGCCTTGGGGGACGATGGAGGAGTGAGAGATCCAAGTTTCTGCCCCTGGATGGTAGGAGGTGGGGTTGTCTGAACCTTTGGCTGTTGTCTTATGGGGGCTTGAATCTGCTAGGAAGAGAGACGAAAGAGTTAAAAAAAAAAAGGGAAAGGAAAAATAAGCAGAGAAGCATAACAAAAATGCCATGTGAGAGCTAACATATGGCTCAAATGGCTCAGTTTATCAAGAACACCCAGAAAGAAAAAAAACTAGGCTTTGACGATCTGAGCTGCAGCCTTGAGACTGATACCAGCAGGGTACTTACCTGGTGCTTATATATAAATTTCAATCTTCATCGGCAGTAATATACAGGGTAACCATATGTAACTCGACCCAGATCAAAGACTGCAGAAGCTATTCCTAGCTTTAAAGACCTAGAAAGTTTCCTAAAGGACCACTTTCTGCTTTAGGAACTCATTCAGAATGCCTCCAAAGGGCAGCCTTTAAGCATTCTACTGGCACAGTCACAAGCCAATGAAGGCACACCTCTAGCTAAAACACATTTGAGCTAAATGATTTCTGCTAAGAGATCCCTTTCTGACACAGCTCAGACTACTAGTTAAATGAGACAGAATCTCACTGTGATTAATAAATGGCAGCACTTTTTTGCTTTTGCTGTTAACACTCTATTACATTGATAGGATGGGTCTTACAGGATTCTGTTTCTGTGGCAACCCCTGAGAAAATGTACAGCATTGGAGCAGTGGGATTATCCTGTTCCCATCTTCAGTTTGGAAATGGCACTGAAGAACCATGTAGAGAATACAGTAAGAAAGGAGAAAAAAATGTAAAAGCCCTTGATGATGACTGATCTAATAATACGAGGCCTCTTGACATATAGGTCTTTTTCAGAAGGAAGGCAGGACACACTGTCACCACAGAAAAACAAACTGGTGGGAACATCCTTGTGGCCACATAGTGAGTCTTTAAGCATAAGTCTTGATCTACCAAGTTCTGTGTCAAGAAAACGAACAAAAATTAATATTAAGAAGGCCACCTAACCCTTTTCTTAACTGTCAATCCAGAAATAAAGGAACTTAGAATATTAAATGCCTCAGGTATTGAACTATCCCTTCCCTCCAGTCCTTCATCTCAGATTGGAGCTGCCCCTCCATGCTGCAAATTGGTTCTCACATTCTGTGTCTTCAAAGATAAAGAGGGCTTCCCTGGTGGTGCTGTGGTTGAGAGTCTGCCTGCCGATGCAGGAGACACGGGTTCGTGCCCCGGTCCGGGAGGATCCCACATGCCGCGGAGCGGCTGGGCCCGTGAGCCATGGCCGCTGAGCCTGCGCGAAAAAAAAAAAAAAAAAAAAAGATAAAGGAAACTAGAGTGTCCAGCTACTTGGGTCAGGATGCTGACAGCCTGGGAGTTTCTGTACCTATACTGACTCAGACTTTAATTTTATTGAGGCAGGCTACGTACATGTGAGAGTACACAACCACTCACCAATCGAATGAATGATATAATATAAGGTTCTAATTCCGATCAAATTAAAGCCAAAGGGTAAAGCAGCTGACTGCATCTCTGAGTGAGAAGCAAAGTGCTCTGTGACGAAGACCAGAGTTCCAGCTCCACAACTTCCTCGGGGGTCCAGAAGTGCATCTGCAACAGCCAGCCTAAAGCCAGTACCCATAGGGGCGAGAAGGGCTTTAAGGACAGAACTAGATTTGCTATTTCTTGCAGTTTAAGACATTCACTACACTGAAAAGGGTACTTAACTGTTGAGGCCCTTTATTTTGAAGAGTCCAGACTACCTGGAGAACATTTTCCCGTCCTTCTGACTATTCTCTGTATGCAGCACACCGAAGAACAGATGCTTCCATCATGAGGACACCTTGTTTTATCACAGCTACCAATTCAAACTGGCTGCCACCCATTCAGCCACTCCCCACAACAACCCTGTCAAGCAGTTTTATTTCCAATCAGAAACTCAGAATGAAGAGTCAAAAAAGACCTTAGAGAACATGGATTCCAACTCCCTCATTTTAGAAGAGACCAGACCAAGGCCCCCTAAGGCTAAGTGCTCCCTCAAGGTCACAGGGTCAATTGAGGGCAGAATCCATGTCTCTTGACTATCGCCCAGGACTCTTTTCTGCACCATGATGCCTCCTCAACCAAAAATGGGACTGGGAAGGGGGAGGAGGGAGAAACAGACCACACGGGGAGAAGAAGCAAGGTAGACTCAGATGCCTATCTTGCCAAAGATTTTTTAAAAAACAAAATGTATAACTATAAAAGGAGTATAATACCATCAAGAAATGTAAGGATATAGACTAGGGGAGAAAAACCACCCGGACTTCCATTCCATTACTCTAATACAACTGTTCTTATCTTTCTGGTATCTTATATTTAAGTCTATTTCAAGTACATACTCGTCCCATAACCTCATCTCTCCTCTAACACTACCTCATGAGAGTTTCCATACTATTGTACAGACTTTTATGACTATGATTTTTAAAAATTAATTGATTTTGACTGAAATATAGTTGATTGTTTTTGTTTTCTTTTAATATTTATTTATTTATTTATTTATTTTTGGCTGTGCCAGGTCTTAGTTGCGGCATGCGGGATTTTTCAGTGTGGTGCACAGGCTCTTCGTTGTGGCGTGCAGGTTTCTCTCTAGTTGTAGTGTGCAGGCTTCTCTCTAGCTGTGGCACATGGGCTCCAGGGTGCATGGGCTCAGTAGCTGCGGCACGCAGGCTCTCTAGTTATGGCATGTGGGCTCCAGAGCTCATGGGCTCTCTAGTTGTGGCGTGCTGGCTCAGTAGTTGTGGCATGCAGGGTTAGTTGCCCCGCGGCATGTGGGATCTTAGTTCCCCGACCAGGGAATGAACCCCCGTCCCCTGCATTGGAAGGCGGATTGTTAACCACTGGCCCACCAGGGAAGTCCCTATAACCATGATTTTTAATGGCTGCACAGGTGAGTTGTTGGAACGAGTTAGGTTGCTTCCATGCTTGTGGCTATTATTAAGACTGCAATAAACATTTGTGGGGTATGGCCATCCTCCCTTTGCAGATTATTGCTGTGAGATGGCTGCAGGGTATACTTTACATTCAATTACTTGCTCCTCGAGGAAAGTCCTACAAAGGGTCGTGGGAGAAAGGGAAGGGCCAAAGCTGGGAGGTTCTCTGGCTCCTAGCTGCAGCATGTTCTGTTCTCGTTCCTTCTCTATGCCCCCAACCACCCACCCCTGAACAAAGTGCTCAAAGTATTTTTTCATTCAAGGAACATGGAGAAGGATCACAGTTCATTCCCAAGGAAGTGGATACTTTTGTCTAGGGTCAGCAGAAGGGGACCCCATAAGAAGTGTATAGTCAGTGGTAGACGATCGCGTCCTCACCCTGAACGAGCATTGTTATTATCCTTGAACACAGATCAGGATTCTTCAGTTCATGCCCCAGCTCTGGTGCTATCAGTCTGTGTGTCTTGGGTGATCCCCTTCTAGCCTGGGCCTCAGTTTCCAATTCCATTAAATGAGGACTGGACAAAATAAGATTTCAACTAGCTACATGATACAGTAATTTTTTAAAAACTCTTTTTCCATTAACAAGAGGAACTTTGTGGCTTGTTAAAAATACAGAGAGTAGCTGTTTACCAAACGCCTGCAGGAAGACCAAGCTGTTTCAGAAACGAAGGTGTAAAGACACTGAACACACATTTAGCTGAGACTTAAAGAAGACAATCTATTTACGGCACTGCTTCCTTTTGAAGGGATGTAGGTTTCCTGGTTTAAGATGAGTGACAAAACTCTATGAGAAATCAATCCTCAGAAAGATAGTTCCTTACTTTTCCTTCATTCTTCTAGTGGTTGGGCTTCCCTGGGAATAAGAGAGTAGCTGTGATACTCTGTCAGCTGGGTATGTAAAATGCCTTTTCCTATCATTATAAAATTTTCTATTACTGTCACTCTGTGAGTACTCATTAAAGGCACTCATTAAAGGCCAAAGTATGATGTGCCTGAGGAGGAACCTGTAGAGGTCAATCAGAAGAGCATGTAGAGGTCTTGATTCTACACTCAACCGGTATCTAGAAATGAACATGCTGAATTTCTAAACTGACAAGATGGCTCAAACAACAGTCAGATGCTCTGGTGCCCAGAGGGGGATCAGGCCATGGCAAATGGTCTCAGCAAGCGGGCCCTGGAAGGGTGCTGCATAGTAGCCTTATTTAAGGTGGCCAGTAATATCATCCAAGACAAAGAATAAACACAAGACTGTCAAGACTCAGGGTACAGGTGGAGGCCTACATGAACCTCCCGAGACTGGGAAGGCCACAGTGGTCAAACTGCCCCCTGAAGAAGGGAAAGGGATTAGCTCTAACCCTACCTAGGGCTTTGAGTGCTTGACACTGGCACTTACAGAGACAATGAACAGCTCTTTCTGCCAGCCTAATATTAGAGTGAGAAATAAGGAAGTTCATCGTCTATTAATCCCATACTCCTAATTTATGCCTCCCCGCTCCCTTCCCCTTCGGTAACCATAAGTTTGTTTTCTATGGCTGTGAGTCTATTTGTGTCTTGTAAACAAGTTCATTTGTCCATCAGCAACCTAGAATCATTCTTCTAAAACCTTAAGCTTCTATAGTATACCTCATCCTCTTCCTGGATACATCGGGAAAAGATCAAATATCTTAACCACCAGGGCGGGGAGCAGCCGTGCCACACCAGCTGCTGCTGTCTCTTTCCCACCCTTTCCCTATAGCCCTCACTGCGTGCTCCTCTTCTGGCTGATTCTCACCGCTGGCTCCTGGGCAGGGACTGGCTGGGGGGCTGTGGCTGGCTGTGCCTGGGCCTGCTGTAGGGCTACCACTGCGGTCTTCTGCTGCAAGGCAGCCTGCTGAGTCAGCAGCTGTTGTTGATGCAGGGTTGTGGCCAGCTGCTGCTGCTGGTAGAAGCTCTGTATCAGCTGCTGTTGAGAGCTTCCTTGGGCTACCACGGGGAACTGAGCGATCGCTGGTTGCTGGGCTGCAGGGTGTACTGCCTGAAATTGAGCAGGAGAAAGTGGCAAGGAATGAAGAGGTGAATAAAAGCCTGTCTCAGAACCATATTCCACAAAGGATGAATGTCTCAGTAACAACTAAGACCGGTGCTGAAGCCAAAAGCAAGGGCAGGTAGGCGTCTTTTACCTTGGCCTGAAAACTCACGAGGGGAACCTCAGGGCATTACATAAACACAGCAGCACGTTACACTGACAGGCTCTAGCCACTGCACTATCTGCCTCCTGCAATGCAGACTGGCTTCCGAGGGGTTTCTGTGCCTGGCCTGAGGGCATCCATCTGACTGTACATCTTGTGACTCCACATGCTGGAGTGTAACAGAAGCTAATAAATGATCTGCTAATCACAAAAGTTATCCCTCTCATAAAGGGATTTGGAAATAACCAGGATTAAAATTCTTCCCTACATGAACAGGATGAAGCAATGATGACACTAAAGAGAATAACCTAAACGTTAACTCAGTTATTAAGTCCTCTCAAGCCTTTCCGAAAATCATTTCCCAATAGCTCTCTTTATTAAACTCCTATCTTTAAACGTTCAAAATATTCAATATACTCTACCACTTAATGATATTTTATCTTATACTGGTAGCATGGTTTCAAGTTATATTCTTTTATAAACTTCCCGAAGACAGGAATACTTCTCTACTCCTCACTGCTAAGGACTCTGTGTAAAGCACAAAAACACAGCTGAAAAAAGGGCCTACTGATGAACAAAAGTCAAGATCTTGTCTGTGAAATCCCAAATACTGTTACTTAGTTATGAGGTTAACTGGGAGGATATTGTTTGCCTACTGGAGCAAAGTTAAAGGGTTAGCAAAGAAAGCAGATATCAATAAACAGCTGCCTACTTATAATAGCAAAATGCTAGAAACAACTAAATGTCTGTCAACAGGGGACTGATTGGAATAAACTATGTTATATATCCTTTAAAGGGAACACTCTCAAGTTGTAAATAGGAACGAAGGATACCTCCATATATGGGATGGAGGGAATAGAATTTTGCAGATTTAACTTTGAAATTATGTAAATGTTTTACATTTTCACAAAACAAAATTAAATCGAAATTTAAAACGCAATAATTAAACAGCAAAACAAAGCAAATAAACCTGTGTATCAGATTAATAGCCAAACTCCTAGAAAATAACGTGCTAAACATTCTAGGTGTAAGAATGGCAAAGAAGGGCTTCCCTGGTGGCGCAGTGGTTGAGAGTCCGCCTGCCGATGCAAGGGACATGGGTTCGTGCCCTGGTCCAGGAGGATCCCACATGCCGCGGAGCGGCTGGGCCCGTGAGCCATGGCCGCTGAGGCTGCTTATCCGGAGCCTGTGCTCCGCAATGGGAGAAGCCACAACAGTGAGAGGCCTGCGTACCGCAAAAAAACAAAAAAAAAACCCAAAAACAAGAATGGCAAAGAAATCTTAAACTGTTTTCAGTAATCATATTGGTATTGTTATCTTGAAACTATAAATCAATTAAGAGTTATGTTAATGTTGTTAGGAATCAAGATTTCCAGATGAAAAAGATACAAATATAAAAATCCAAGAAGTTAAACAAAAATCCTATAATTACAAATCTGCTTTAGAAATATAAATTTGAATTCATGGTGTATATTCTATAAAAATTATATATATATATATATATATACACACACACACACACACACACACACACACACACACACACACACACACACACATATATATGTCCTAACTATTCACTGAAAAGGCCTAAAAATAATAACCAACCCATTAGCAAACGGGTATCCCTAGTAGCAACACTGCGGTCTCTAAATACCATTTCCATTGAAGGGAAACAGCTCCTTGGAGAAATGGCTGATTCCAGGTCAAGGGCAGAATCATCCTGGAACAGCTTGTTACACCAAATAGCAAGGACACATTAAAGGCTACTGGAGTCACAGCCAAAGGACCCAGGAGCCAATCTGAAGAGACTTCCACTGGCCAAAACTGAGACAACTGGGACAAATTTTTTTAACAGCAATGTGTGGAAACATATCAAATATATTAAGATGCATGAACTCATAATGATACTAAGAACAAAACAAAATCTTCATTGTTCACTTCTGGATGGTACCATGAACAAACTCATTATTCTGAAAACTGGTAAACACAGGCAAAGAGTCATGCATTATTTCTGCCTTTTCTGTACGAACAGTACCTCAGGGTAATCAAACACTTGCTGAAAAAGTTCTTTACAGGGGACTTCCCTGGTGGTCTAGTGGTTAAGACTCCGCGCTTCCAATGCAGGGGGCGCAAGTTCGACCCCAAGTTCTTTACAGAAAAATCCAGCCCCTAAATGAAGATGGAATGCTAGAATATCACCGCTTTGCCACCCCTAATGAATTAATGGACTTAGGAAACAAACTGAAGGGGAATATTAAGTGACTGGATCAGACAGACAAAGCCAAACCAACAGATTGATTTTAATATTAATAAAAGAGAGGACAACAAGACTTTATCCACAGTTTCACTTTCTGCAGTTTCAGTTACCCGTGATGAACAGAGATATGAAAATATTAAATGGGGGGATTCCCTGGTGGCGCAGTGGTTGAGAGTCTGCCTGCCGATGCAGGGAACGCAGGTTCGTGCCCCGGTCCGGGAAGAGCCCCCATGCCGCGGAGCGGCTGGGCCCGTGAGCCATGGCCGCTGAGCCTGCACGTCCGGAGCCTGTGCTCCGCAACAGGAGAGGCCACAACAGTGAGAGGCCCGTGTACCGCAAAAAAAAAGAAAATATTAAATGCAAAAGTCCAGAAATAAACAATTCATAAGTTTTAAACTGCATGTTGTTCTGAGCAGCGTGATGAAACCTTGCACCGTCCCATTTCGTCCTGGCTGGGATCCCCAACCATTGACATCATCTGCTCCTGACATGCAACCATTGACACTGTCATGGCTCCATGATTCTGGATCCCAAGAAGTAGATGCTCCTCCTTCCGACATACGGTTAGAAGGTCAATAGTAGCCTAATGCTATGTCACAATGCTCACGTCATTCACCTTACTTCACCTCATCAAGTAGGCATTTTATCATCTCACATCATCACAAGAATATTTTGTGAGAGACACTGCATTCACATAAGTTTTATTACAGTATGTTGCTATAATTGATGTATTTTATTATTAGCTATTCTTGCTACTCTCTTACTGTGCCTAATTTATAAATTAAACTTTACCATAGGTAGTATGTATGTATAGGAGAAAACATGGTATATATAGGGTCCGGTACTAGCTGTGGTTTCAGACATCCACTGGGGGTCTTGGAACGTATCGCCCGCAGATAAGGTGAGACTATTGTATGTCTTGTGATGTTGAGACTACTGTATGTCTCCTGATGTGATGCAACTGGAAGAACAAAGGACTATCAACCTGAATCAAATACTGAGAGGCCTCAAGAAACTACCCATTTACACAGGGGGTGGTGGAACATATTAAACAACACCACAGGGATGCAATCAACCAAATCCAGAATGTGGGAAATTCTACAGGACAAACGACCTAGTTACTTTAAAAAAAAAAAAAAAATCGATCATTATAAAATGAATATATTCAGAGCAAAAAAATGTGAAAAAATATACAAAGCAATTTAAATTACGACACACCAGAAAGAGTTAAACACTACTGGATATTTGATAATAAGAAATAACTGTTTTTCTGCTTCAATTTGATGATGGTGTCATGTCAGAAAAACAAAAAACAAAAAACAATAAAGAGTCATGTACCAAAATGTTCACTGCAGCTCTATTTACAATATCCAGGACATGGAAGCAACCTAAGTGTCCATGATCGGATGACTGGATAAAGAAGATGTGGCACATATATAATGGAATATTTTACTCAGCCATAAAAAGAAATGAAACTGAGTTATTTGTAGTGAGGTGGGTGGACCTAGAGTCTGTCATACAGAGTGAAGTAAGTCAGAAAGAGAAAAACAAATACCGTATGCTAACACATATATATGGAATCGAAAAAAAAAAAAGGTCATGAAGAACCTAGGGGCAAGACGGGAATAAGATGCAGACCTACTAGAGGATGGACTTGAGGACACGGGGAGGGGGAAGGGTAAGCTAGGACAAAGTGAGAGAGTGGTAGTGTATATATGGACATGGGGAGGGGGAAGGGTAAGCTGGGATGAAGTGAGAGAGTGGCATGGACATATATACACTACCAAACGTAAAATAGATAGCTAGTGGGAAGCAGCCGCATGGCACAGGGAGATCAGCTCGGTGCTTTGTGACCACCTAGAGGGGTGGGATAGGGAGGGTGGGAGGGAGGAAGATGCAAGAGGGAAAAGATATGGGGATATATGTATATGTATAACTGATTCACTTTGTTATACAGCAGAAACTAACACACCATTGTAAAGCAATTATACTCCAATAAAGATGTTATAAATAAATAAAAATTAAAAAAAGAGTGCCCTTAAAAACCAGCTTCCTTGCTGAGGTTCCCTGGTGAGGTGCAGAATTCCCCATGGCCTGAGAAGAAGCAGGGGAGGGCTGCGAGTGATGCAGTGAGGGCTCCACTGTGTCAGGTTTAGTGTCTGCCATCTGTGAGTACAACGCTGTGCCGGGTCATGGCTCTCTGTCTTCCCAGGGCTTCCCAAGGAAGACACCTGCACGTAGTGGACCTTTTCACAGGGATGACTCACATATGCCAAGCGAGGGTCAGATTCACCGCCTTACCTGCTGAGCCTGGGCCTGCTGCTGCTGCTGCTGGTAGAATGTGCCCGCTGGCTGCTGTGCAGGAGGCGGTGCTGCCTGCTGCTGCTGCTGCTGCTGCTGCTGCTGCTGCTGCTGCAGGAAGAGCTGCTGCTGGTGCTGGGGTGTGGCCTGGGCCTGGGTGGGCAGACCCTGGGCCTGCGTGGAAGGCGGCTGCTGTGGGGTGGGCAGAGCCTGGGGCTGCTTGGGCTGAGACTGCGGTAGGGGTTGGCTGGGTGGAGGCTGGGGTTTTGGTTGAGGAACGCTGGCTAAAAGGCCAGGCTGATTGCTGGATCCTGCAAGGAGAATAAACTCCATATAAGGGCTCAAAACTCTTCCAAACGAACGCGGCTTTCTTTCTTGCCAAAGCAATAAAGAGGGGGTGATCAGTGGACAGATAATCCCAGGATCCATGGGCTTCTCACTGTCCTTGCACCTGGAAGGCCCTTCCTTCTTCTTGCCATACTATGTGCTTCATATTTTTCAAAACATGGTCCAATAACAGTGTTCAATGCTTGTCTCCTTCAAAAAGTCCTCCCTTGCTCACCATCCCATTTAGTCAATTACTCCTTTAGTCAGCACCCTGAGGATCTACATATTCAACTGGACTTTGATGCTACTGTACATAAACACAATCTTTGCATTTGTGGCACACTGCAGGACAAAAGCATTCTTTGATGGTTTACATGTATGTTACACAACCCCAGTCTGGATGCCTGATTGTTAAGTAAATGACCACCAAATTCACCAACAGCAGCTTCCTGGTAGGGGGAGTGATGGCTGTGTTCAGTTGATAATCTGGATCAATCCTATTTACGAAAGGAAACTCAGTCCGCTCATTAGAAATGGAAAAACAAAACACGAAGAGGTGACAGATACTTCAGGAAACAGAGCATTAAAGAAATAATTCCTCTGTGTCCAAAAAGATTTTTTTTTTAAATGCAAAGAGAAGTATATGAAATAGAGAGGGAGGCAGGGGACGAATGGACCACGCCATAAAATTAGGGCCAAGACTAGAAAAAATAGAGACAACAGGCTTCAGTGGCCTTGGGGATCCACTGCAGAATTCAATGAGAGGCCTTCCTTTTGGCCAGCCATTACCCGTACAACTTCAAAGGCAGCTCACCTCTAGTTCCTTGAGGAAAACCATTACTCTTTACATGTCTCTAGATTCCACTCCAGGAAGAACCATGCTTTCCAAGACTTCTCTACAGTCCAGGATGACAAAGAGGTGTACCAAGTTTCAAACCAACCTAGTTACTGACCTGTGGCCTGAGGTGGGGGCTGAACTGTGGCCCTCTTTCGAGGTGTCAGGGCTGGCTGGATGGGAAGGATTCCTGGGTTGGGCTGAGTCTGCCCAGCTTTAGGCCTCTGGCGGGGTGCAATTGAAGTCTCTGTGGTGGGAATGGGATCTGTCAGTCTAGAAAAAGAAAAGGGGGAAAAAAAAAGCTGCCTGTTAAAGGGTGAGAAAATGAAGGGGGGGTAGACAGAGTACATGATGGATAAGCTTTCACCTCCACATTCATCCAAACCTTCCATATCCACTTAATCAACATTTCCCAAAGGGTATTCCACAGGATGTTACGTGTTACTAGATGTTATGAAAAAAAAAAGGTGGGCAAATAAGTTTTAACACACTGATCAAAATATCAAAATAGCAGATTCCTTTCTAGAATAACTTTTTACGTGTGAACGTGCAAGGAATACCTCAAAGACAGCATTATATAGAATGCAACGTTTCTCAGACTTTTTTGATCTTGGGACCATTTTGCCTAATACTTCTTAGGATTTCCTAGAATATATTTTGACGATAATGCAAAGAGGGGTTTAAACAGCAGGTGGTTTTCAGATGTAGAGGGACTCAAACTTGATTTGAACTAGCTGTCAAAATGGTCTCGCTATAATAAGAAGCATCAAATGAGTTAATCCAATAACGCAACTAGAAGGAATAAGTAAATAACTCAAGATAAAGGATTTAGGGAGTGTGACAGGAACTCTATTTCCTCTAATACACATATTTGCTTTTTTCCATGGTAATAACAATTTTTAGCTGGACATAGGGTCACCAAGAGTAAAAATCACATCGCCCAGTCTCGCTTGTAATCAGGTATGGCCACGCGTCTAAGTTCTGGCCTATGTGGGGTATAAACAGATTGTTATGTAGCAGTTTCTAGAAACCTTAAGGAACTGTGCATGCTCTTTGTCTCTCTTCTTCTCTGGCAATTCCTTGATCCTGCTGCTTGGAAGAGGGATGCTGCCATATCGGTCCATGAGGACATGGCCACAACCATAGGGATGGTGGAGTGATGAGCTTATAGCAGCCTGGGTACCTGAGGGCTTTGTGGAACAGAACTCCATATCAGCCCTGGATTACTTGCCTCCAGATGTTGTTTACTTGAGAGAAAAGAAAAAATCTATCTTATATAAGCCACTGTCATTTGCACTTTCTAGAACTCATAGCCAAATCTAATCTAAATGAGTACAGAGTGTAGTCTGCTTGTTCCTTGTGATGGTGCTACAGCCCAGGTGGTAGCTTCCCTTGATTTAGAGCAGTGCAGGAAGCTGGCTACTAGCTAACTTAGAGCAGAGTAGCTATCCTTTGAAAATACACTTTAGGGAGTAATAGCTGAGGTGAAGGCCAAAATAAACAAGCTTCGTGAATATTTCCAAAATATATCTGGCACAGCCTCCATAAAATGCAAAATAGGAAGCAGAGCAGCTGGCCCCATATCCTTCCTCATGACATGTCTCCAAGGCAAGCCCATTCTGGACCCTGAGGCTTTTCACTGGCATCCTGCTCTCATGCTGGGTGGAAAGCTGGTAATATAAAAGCTATCACTTTGGAGAGGCTGTGATCTGGGGAAGGGAGGTGGGAAGGAAAACAGGACAGATGCTGGGAAAGAGGAGAAAGGGGTAAGAAAGATCAAGCCAAGGGTGAGGGAGGTAAACAGACTTCTGTAGAAAACCAAATGCCAAGAACTTCCACACTGGTCTTCTAAGGGTAACATTTTTAGAATCAATGGGATTTGGAGTCAAAGAAAACCGTACTTGAACTCTAGCTCCCCAGTAACTAACTGTGATAATAGGCATGCCACTGAACCTCTTTTAGCCTGGGGTCACTTATGTATAAAATGGAGACAATAATACCTACTTTATGAGGCAGATGTGAACATCAAATGTATCAATAACTGTAAAACCATTTTATAAACTGAAGTGTGCTCAAAATGTTAGTTTGTATGGACCTCAGTATATTGTAAGAAAATACAGATCTTGAAGCCAGGAGATCTGGCTTTAAGTTGCGCTATCTGTGTGATCCTGGGCAAACCACTTAACCTGCAGGGTAGAAAGAGTGAGGATGCTGGAGTTCTGGTTCTTCTGCTAATCACATACTGACTAACTACCCTGAGCAGCTGACTTACAATTCTGAGTCTCTGTTTCCTCATCTGTGAAGTGAGAACAGCAACAACCTCACAGATTTGTTTTGGGGGGGGGGGGGGGAGGTCATCTTATTTACGTAAAGTACCTAGTATGGTATCTGGTATATGTGATGCCTCAATGAATAGTGTCTACTTTAAAAATAGAGTTTGAGGACAATTCCCTGGTGATCCAGTGGTTAGGACTCTGCACTTTCACAGAGGGCGAGGGTTCAATCCCTGGCCGGGGAACTAAGATCCCACAAGACGTGTGATGGGGCCAAAAAAAAAAAAAAAAAGGAGTTTGAAAGAAAAACCCACGTCTCAGGACTGGGGAGCAAATGTGATCACGCAAATGAAATCACTGCAGATTATATACAGGACAGCTTAGATCCAAATCTCTTGGCTGTAAGGTCTGTATATTCTTGCAGCATTACTGAGGTCCATACAAACTAACAGTTTGGGCACCATAGAGTTTATGTAAGTTACACAGTCACGGGAGTGTTTGATGTTCACATCTGCCTCATGATGCAGGTATTATTTTCTCCATTTTACACAATACAGTACCACTCAAACGTCAGCAGGTATTATATTTTTATAAATGTGTATGCTTTGTGGGAATGGATCTTTGCTTAGCCTCTATACATACCAAGTCTGGGCCTAGTACAAGATGGCCATAAGCCCAAAAGATTAAGCTAATTAAATCAGCCCCAAAAGCAATTCCTAGAGGTGAGCATGGCAGACTTACTAACATATAAACAGACTGCAAAGTAACATCATGGACGTAGTTTGCTAAGTTTGTTAAAAACCAAAGTCTTATTACTTTAGAGCCACATCTGGAATAGACACACAACAGGCATTCTATAAATGTTCAAGAATTTTCTAAAACAGAAGTTATTTTACTATTCTATTAAAATTCATATATTCCCATCTAGGGTGCTTTGTTGATATAGTTTGCACTAAGGCTTCCTTGCCATGGGAGTGTGGTAGAAAAGTAGGGTATAAACAACTCTGGGACTACCCTGAGAATTAGCCATTTGGAAGGCATGGCAGCCATGAGGATGTGCCTTGCAGACCTTCGACTACCAGGGTGTAAAAGACCAAGTGGTCCAGCTATTGTGCTCCTGAAATCCACTGCCCTGTGTGCCCCGAGGCCACGCTTCCCAGAGGCTGCTCTCAGCCATAATGTCCCAGCCACAAGGATATTAAGGCAGGCCCGTACCTAAAAGACAGGACTCCGGGACAATGCACCTTCCTTACCTTGTGTGGCGGGCAGTCCAGGTCACTTGGAGCCAACCTTCTCCTCCCTGCTCTGGGTCAGACTTCCGTGCTCTCCCAGCTTCCTCGGCACCCACTCTATTTTCTCGCACGGGGCATTTCCCCAAATAAAACCCTAGCTTCTTGACTCCTCTCTTGACCTGCTACTTGGAAGAACCTCCGTTATTCAGAATGTGATTACCTAAGATCCACAGGCTCTTTTGCTGTTCACTGACTCAATGCTTTGACCTGTACTTTGCTAATGTGGCTGGAGCCACAGAAAGTAAGATTTCCTGGAGATTAATGTGGTGGACTAGGCTATGCAAAGGCCAGGACACATGTTTAGCAATATTGTACTAACAATAATTAAGGTCTGCTGTCACCGCACCTCTGAATGCCCTGCATCTATTCCCAAGCAAAGGGAGTAGCTGTGGGGTTCTCGATTCTCTTTCAGATGTAGATCTCTGTATCTTACTATATTCCAACTTGCACTCCCAAAGAACAGTTTCTGCCTGGGGGAGACAGACCTTCTTCCTTTCCTGTTCTGTGCAGCCTCTGGCCATGGCAGCGTTAAGAATCAAGAACCATAAAGTGCCCTCCCCTGCTACTACAGCAACTGGAGTAGGACATGTGCTCACTAAGGTATTTCTTACCTGGCCTTTGGCTGGGTCTTTTTTGCAGCTGCCTCACTGGCTTTCACTGGTTCAGGGAGCTTTGCAGGAATGGGAGAGTTCTATAGAATTGAAAGAAAATTTTAATAGGACACCAGAGATTTTTTAAATAATTGAGATGTAACTGACATACATTATATTAGTTTCAGGTGTACAATATAATTGATTTGATATTTGTAAATATTGCAAAAGGATCACCACAATGAGTCTAGTTAACATCTATCACCATACGCAGTTACAGAATTTTTTTTCTTGTGATATGCAATATAGTATTACTAAGTATAGTCACCATGCTGTACATTACATCCCCATGACATTTATTTTATACCTAGAGACTTGTACCTTTTGACTCCCTTCTCCCATTTTGCCCAATTCCCAAAACTCACCCCACAGATTTCTTTGAAAAAGAATAACCAGCATGATTGGGCCAATGGAAATACACATTAGGGTCTTCCGGAGTGGCTTTCAGACCCTGATCTCTGGTCTGGGAAGGGAAGAAGTGAACCTAAGTATATCCCACTGGACTCAGCCCCAGTCAGGGAGGCAAAGGATCTGAGAAGGGGACAGAGCAGCCTGAGTACAGCACACTCCACCCCTGTCATTCTCAACCTCTGGGCCAGGCAAGAGCACTGGGGCTTGATCTCAGCTCCCTCCCCCTCCTACAGCACAGCTTAGAAGTGATGTTATGAAAGGAATGAAAAGAGGTCTGTAAGCTATACTTAAGCTCTCAGCTAGATCTTAGAGAAGTTGGTGCTGACTAGTGGGCCAAGCCAGGGTGCATCTAGCCTTCAGTGAGAACGCTGGGAGAAACCCACAGCCGCGGTGTGTGTGGTTGCTGAGCCAGCCCCTCTTCCCAGCATGTGAGGCACTGCTCAACCCACAAGGCAGGCGGAGCTCCTCGGGCTTGGATTCTGCACCATCCGTCTAACAGCGCCTCCTGTGGTTAGGGAGCCACAAGACAACGGCTGACCACCCCTGAGCAAGTGCCAAACGGCCTGAGACTGGTGAAGCTTACTTTTTAAAAAATGAGTTACCAACCTGAATGCTTCCAACCCTATTTCACGTTATTTAACTTCATGAATGGGAAAGTGGGGCAGCAAAAGGGATCACGTTGTGTTAGGTTACTGCACAGTATCCTTCGTTTTAATCTGGGAAACCTGAACCATGGAACACTAATAATGAAAGTGGCTTTTAGGAGGCCCCTCCATTTCCTTCATGTTTTCAGGTGGGGGGGGGGAGGGGATTTTGGCTAGAAAATTTCTCCTAGCTTCTCTCCCACCCTCCAAGCATTCCTCTCCCAAGGGAAAGGGGGAACTTACTTGACTGATAAGACTGGGAGAGAAAAGTGAGCTGGTCTGGCTTGCCCTCGCCCCCACTCCTCTATGGATGAGCCTGTCCCTCAGGAACCAGGCTTTCGCTGCTCAGTCATGTGGAGCTAATGTTAGGGAGCCTGACTGGTCAAGCCACATTCCCTGACTCAGTCTTATTAGTAGTAAAGCCAATATGCCGAGCTCCATCTGAACGATTCCCACATCTGATTCCAAATGTGGGAGTGAAAGAGAAGTGTTACTTATCAGCACCCTCAAGCTCCAGTAGTGACATCAGAAGTTCATTACTGGAGAAACTATAAGACAATTTGCAATTAGATATTTTTTTACTGCAGCATCCATTAATAAAATATTCAAGGAAGTTGAATCATACTATGACATGAGAAATATGCCAAGACTACAAGACAGGTGTTTGCAAGCACCGTACTCTGAAAACTGTCGGTAGAGTTTAGGATGACTATGTGTAGAAAACATTCTGATGGCCTGACATATGTGGGGAGGGTAGAAGAAAAGGAGTGTGCATTCCAGACTGGCCAGCAACAGAAGCAAAATCAGGAAAGGTCTGCTACAGCAAAGGAGGAAAGGGACAAGGGGCTTATGTTCCACTAGGCACAGTGGCAAGTCCAGGGCCTTGCCTTAGGGAAACGGCCGGCCCAACCTCCTCTCGGTAAATACAACAGGCACGTTGGCTCTCAGGGAACTAGGACAGCTGACAAGGTAAAGTTGGTCAATCTTTACCCAAAGCATTCAACTCAATCCCCAGGTAGGGGTGTGTGTGTGTGTGTGTGTGTGTGTGTGTGTGTGTGTGTGTGTGTGTGTGTG